TTATAGTTTAGTTTCCTATGTAGTTTTACAACAGGAAGAGTCCACCCATAAAGTAAGGGAAACACTTTTTAAATGTTTCACAGAAAAAAAAGAAGACACATTCTGGAAGTTTTGTTTTTAAGCATCAAATTCTTACTCTCCAGACCAGGGTGATACTCTTGCACATCAACCACAGCACTGAGTCAGATTTTGAAGTTTTCTCTTTGTACAGTGACAAGGTAGAAAGGGTTGACTGAAAGGGTAAAGGAGGCCTGGCTGACTGACCACTTACTTCGACATTGTATGCTCAGCACTTCTACTGTACTTCTGTATTTGTATCAGCATATAGAGTGTTGCCAGACCCAACTTACATTATATTAAGTTGCAAAAGACTGATGTATAATCCAGAATGCAACAGATTAATTTATAATACAAATATAAACATGAAGTAGCTTGGATCTCATGTTCTCTTACTGTTGTAAAATTATATAGGTAGCCAAGCTAAAATCTGAAACTGGCTTGCTCAGCCTGAAATCAGAGCAAGGGGGAGTTAAGTGGATTATTATGATGGCTAAAGCCCTAATTAGCATCATAGTTATACCAAGGGACTGAACTTTTTATGTGGCTTTTAAATTTAAAAAGTCATGCCTCTGTTTCAATTTTAAGTCACACACACACAAAGTGATCTGTGCTAAAAAAAAAAAAAAGATTTTACAATCAAGTACCCCGGATTAGTTGCAAGCTTGGTATTTGTTATCTATCAATGTTGGCTGGGCCCCAGGAGTTGAGAAGCTAAAAGGGATCCGGTTTAGTAAAGGAGAAACAGCTGGGAAGCAGGAGTCCCCTTAGAGAAGCAGAGTCTTATGTGGGAGGAGAGCAGAGCTAGGTGGTAGGTGAGCGGATGAATCTGGAGTCACAGGAGTCACTTGTTACCCATTCCCCCCAAACTATACAATATTATAGGGGGTGATGGGCCCATAAAAATCATCTAATTCAACCTCTCACATTCGGATCGACTTGATCAAAGACATAAAATAAGTTCGTGGCCCAGCTGGGATTAGATCCCAGTTCAGTGTTCTGATATGACACTATACTGCTTCTTTCCTATTTCATATGAAAACCTGGAAGCCAAAACTCAGGGTCTCAAGTGAAGCTTTGAAGAGAGCCCAAAGGAGAATGGGGAGAGTATAGGGGAGACATGTGTGAAGGCAATATGGCTCAAAGTGATGACATTGATATCTGGTCCTAATGAAAGATCTCCATGGCCTCGCCCTCTAGACTCAGATATCAACAGAACAAAGTCACTTAAGCCTCTGAACTTCACTTTCTCATAGATAAAATGTATCTGAAAATAATTATACCTAGCCAGTTACCAGGAAGATAAAATGAAATAATGTGTGTAAAAGAACGTTAAATGAATATTGGTATTTTTTTACTACTTACTGCGAGCAAGAAACACTTGGTATTTTCTAACATATGCATACTAATAACCAGAAGGTAGAAAAGAAGGAGACAGTAAGAAAAGAAGGAGGAGACAGTATGATTAGAAAGAGAACAGGCTCAAACACAGAGAACATCTTGTTTTGTGAAATGAATTGAGTAACCACATTTTTTTCACAATGCGTCACTTGCTTCTTAGCCAGGACACTGAGACGGCTGAAGTTCTGCCATTACTGAAAGCTACGTTACAGAACCCACTAAGGGTATGGGGTGAGGAAGGAGGGAGTTGTTGGAGGAAACAACCTGGCTGCTGGAATGATGACCGCAGGACCTGGTCTGGAAATGCAAACTGTAAGAAGGTCTCTCTCTACCTTCTGGGCCTGGTTCTTCTGGTCATCTCTGTTAAAACTCTAAGATTTTCAGAGACACACAGGAGAGGAGGGGAAAACAGTCAGCAAATACCTCTGGAAGCTTCAACCACATAGTGAGTCATATTTCTTATCAACGTGTGTGCAGACAGAAAGGAATGCATGTCCAGCAATTCCTGGATGCAAAGACTCTCAGCTCTCCTGGCTCTGAAAACTGCCTTACTGCTCTAAGAGATTTACTGATCAAAGTAACATAGTGCTCTAGGCAGGAAAGTGAGAAAACAAACCTACTAACTGATCCTACTAGCCTGGATCAACAAGGCTTACCCTGTTTCAATCCTGAGTAAACAAAAATGACTCCACTATCACTTCTTTTCGTGCTGTTTCCACAAGGCTTGCAGAGGGATGACAATGGACTTCGCATACCAACCCCAAGGCACTTGTTTCTTGAAGCATATAGAGGAGCAGCACTTTCCTTACACAGGAAGTGTGCCTTATTTTCCTCACCCCTCATCATCTCAAGTTCCCTCCACTTCAGTGCCACCAACCTAATCCAAGTCATCCTTGTTTCTTCCTTGTCCATAGATACCATGGCACAACCCATTCCCCACAGAGCAACCCAAGTGATTTAAAAATAACAGCTTCATTGACATATAATTTAAATACCCACCCTTTCAAAGTATACAATTCAGTGCTTTTACTAGATTCACGAAGTCGTGCAAACACTATCCCTATTTAATTTTAAAACATATTCATCATCCTCAAAAGAAACCCTATATCTTTTAGCAGTCATTCCCCATTTCCCTTCTCCTACCCCAGCCCCTGACAACCACTAATCTATTTTTGTCTCTGTTTTTTTTGCCTATTCTGGACATTTTGTATACATGCAATCATACAATCTGTGGTCTTTTGTGACTGGCTTTTTTCACTTAGCATAATGTTTTTAAGGTTCATGTATGTTGTAGCATATATTAGTACTTCACTCTTTTTTATTACCAACTAACATTTCATATGAATATACCATATTTTATTTATCTATTCAACAGCAAATGAACATCTGGGTTATTTCAACTTTTTGGCTGGTATGACCAAGGCTACCCTGAACATTCATGATATATTTTTGAGTGGACGTATGTTTTCTATTTCCTTGGGTATATACCCATGAGTGAAATTGCTGGGTGACAGGCAACTCTGTTTAACATTTTGAATAACTTCCAAACTGTTCCCAAAGTGGCCGCAGCATTTTACAATTTTAATAGCAATGTACAAGAGTTCTAATTTCTCCACATTCTTGTCACACTTGTTACTGTCTGTCTTTTGATTATAGCCATACCCATGTATGTGAAATGGTGTCTCCTTGTGGTGTTGATTTGCATTTCTCTATTGATTAATGATGTTGAGAATTTTTTCAAGTGTTTAGCAGCCATTTGTATATCTTTAGAGAAAAAGTCTATTCAAATCCTTTGCCCATTTTTTCAACTGGGTTATCTGTCTTTTTTATTCGTTGAGTTGTAAGTATTCTTTTGTATACTGGATTCAAGTGCAAGTGATTTAAAAAAAATAAATCAGATTTTGTCACTCTCCTATATAGTACCCTCTAATGATTCCCTACTATGTTTGCAATAAAATCTAAATTCTCATTCTGGCTTACAAGGTTGCCACTTTTCCCCGCACATAGTGCAGGAGTCGGAGCGGTCACGGTCATTCTCAGTGTAGTGTGTGCGTCCCAGCTGCCTGCTTGGAATTAGCTTTCTTTGAATGGCTCCTTCTAAAGAAGCTCCTCCTCCACAAAGGGGAACAAGAAAACTTTGGGGGATGATGGATATGTTCATTATCTTGAATGTGGTAATGGTTTCATGAATGCATGCATATGTCAAAACTTTTAAATTGTATTCTTTAAATATATGCCTTTTTTTTACTTGAATTATATACTTCAATAAAGCTGTTAAAAATCTTCCTTCATAATCACATCTTCACTATTACTATCTTATCATACTTTATTTCCTTAAGAAAAATTGTCTATCTTAAAACACCTCATTTATTTCTTGATTTAAATGTTTACTATCCAATCCCATTAGATATTTATACCAAGGGAGTATTTTTAAGTAGGAGATTTTTTTTTTTTTTAACTACTGTATCCTCAGTTTGGTTCAAAATCAGGTGCTCAATAAATAGATGGCTAATTGAATAAATGAATTCAACAGATGTTTAAAAGATACCTACAGACAATATGAAGGGTGACTTCCTATTTCCTCAGATTCATCACTACTCTTAGACTTAAGGGGTTGAGATTCATATTATTTCCTTTATTAAGAGCAGCTACCTCAAACTCTATCCTGGATAATCTTTAACATCATCATTAAAAATGTAATTTACTTTTCAATAACTCTGTGGTACTATTCTGGTACCACATGAGAGAATATATATATTCGCCCATTGGTAGTGGTTATTTTTATAATAGCATAATAATAATAGCATGTTATAATACATAATATAGTAATAACATAGTATAATTGTAATAAATATAACATAGTACATAATAACTATAATAGCAACAGTAATACAATAAAAAAATTTGTTTAGCACTTACTATTTGCCAGATATTATGTGAGTAATCCACCCATATAATATCAATTATTCCTCACCATAACTTTATAAAGTCGGTATTCTTTTACAGATGAGGAATTTGAGATTTAGAGAGGTGAGCTCACTACCCAAAGCCACACAGGTGGTAAAAGGCAGAGGTGGAACTGCAACCTAAATCTATCTTACTTCAAAACCCATGCTTTTTCCATTCTGCTACAGTGCTTCTCAAGTATTTTTATAACACAATGCTACTCCAACTCATATAAAAGCCCCTACGACCTGCAGAAGATGTTCACCTTGAGAATGACACTACTCAAACTATGAAATGGGTTAGGAACAAAAGTCAGATAGATGAAAAACTAGTTGCCTGAGAATAAATCAAGATATTTAAAGCAAGAAATTTTTACTTTATCACAAACTTCCCATCTAGCTTCATTTGATATTTTGTTTTTACTGTTTCTGATGACTCTTGGATAGACTTTGGTTTTTACCTAAGTTGCTGGCCCTTGCTCCTCCTCTGCCTCCTAGTGAGGTTTATTAGTGAAGATACGTTGACCATGGGAGATATAAGTAATTTCTATTAACAATTTGGGTCCTGATTTCTAGAGCTCATAGATGGGCCTTTACCTTTAGTGCCAGGTGGCTGTAGGTTGTCTCCAGTCAAGGAACACCAGCCCACAGGGAAGATGTCCCGGGAGTCGAAGCGGCACCAGTAGTCAAAGGCCCCTCGCCACCCATCAAAAGTGACAAGCACCTCTGAGCCCCGCACCTCCCCAATAGTGGCTGGGCATATGAAATGAGGGTTCTTCCTGTCCACAGCTTCTAACTTCATTCCCATTTTGAAGAAGTTGTGGGAAGGTGATGGTGGTTCCTAGATGAGAAAAGAAATATATAGACCTAGAGGCAGGAGAGAGGCTATGTATGCCAAAAGACTGCTACCTCATTTGGATGATTAAAAAGTGACCCCTAAGGTAAGATTTATGATGGAGAGTTAGTCTTTCTTTTAAATGAATTTCAAAGTATTCCAAAGTATTACTTTCTTAATCCTAACATTGTGACATCCTTGCTTCAGGTTTTTTTTTTAAAGAAATAAAAGGTAACAGATAAAGTTGAATCCCCTTTTGTGCCCTTCTCCTGTCCCACTCCCTACGCATGTTTTTATACTTTACTATATAGGTACACATCTATTTGCTTATTTAAAACTTTTATATAAATAGTATTATACTGTAAATATTTTATATCTTGTTTGTTCAACATTGTATTTTTGAAATTTTCCATGTTGACAAATTTAGCTCCAGTTCATTTTAACTGCTAATAGTATTCCATTATATGTATACATCATAATTTATTCATTTTCTTTTGATGGACATTTAAGGTTTTTCCAATTGTGTACTATTTCAAAAGAGTTTTAATGATCATTCTTGCACTTATTCCTTTGTACACATGTAGGTGGGTTTCTTCCGGGTACATACCTAGGAGTAAAATTGCTGGGTTATAGGACAGATATATACATTTTCTGCTTTATTAAACATTAAGTTGCTCTCCAAAGTAGTTGTAACATTGTACACTACTAGAGTGTTCTCTTTCTCCCAAACTGATTTGCAGTGTAACAAATAAGTATTGTACATTCTATTCTGTTCCCCTTGTTTTATTGTCTGATCCTGTACCAATAATAGTCTTATTAAATGTTTATCTGGAAAAAAAAGTACCTCTACTTTGTCACTCTTCAAAACCGTTTTGGCTATTTTTTTTCTCCTTGATCTTTCATGTGAATTTTAGAATCAGCTTTTCAAGTTCTACATAAAAACCCTATTTAGATTTTGACTGGAATCTCAGTGAATTTATAAATTAATTTGGGAAGAAATAACCTTTGTATATATGATATCAAGCCTTCCCATCCAAAACATAATAGCATTTTTTATTTGTTAAGTATTCTTTAATGCAGATTTCTTCTTTAATATAGATTTTAAAATGTACTCTATAAATATCTCCTGCTTTTTACTAACATTTTTTTACTAGACATATTACAATTTTTTTGCTGTCATAAATGGTATCTTTTTAAAAAATTAATTAATTTTTTTTATTATCGTGACATTGGTTAACAAAACTCAGTAAGTTTCAGGTGTACAATTTAACAGTAAGGCATATATATATAAAATATATATATTATGTATATATATTGTACTGTGAGGTAGCTTTTAAAATTTTCATTTCAAAGCATTTGTTACTGTTAAATAGGAATACAACCGATTTTAAAAAATTGATCAACAAAATTAATATTAATTAGCTTATGTTGATTGATATACTAATTTTTCTGCCTGCCTGATTTATCAATTTTTGAGAGACCTGTATTAAAATAGTCTCTAATGATTGTGGATTTTCCACGTAAATCTCTCAAATTTTGTTTCATAAACTTTGAGGCTATGTTTTTTAGAAGCATGCATATTTATAATTGTTTTATTTTCTTGGTCAACTGTACTTTTTAATCATTAGATAATGACTGCTTTAATGTTTTTTGGCATCAAAGTCTGCTTTGTCTAATTTCAGCATAGTAACAGCAGCTTAGGTTTGCCTGGTATATTTTTTATGTTTTTTTACTTTCGACATTTTTGCATCATATTTTAGCAGGATCTCTTTTAAATAGCATGTAGCTAGAGTTAAAAACAATCTATGTCTGACTAGACTGATGAATTTAAACTTATTTCTTGTGGTAACTGATTTAATTAAGTTTATTATAATGATTATATTGCCTACACTTCTATTTTACTGGGTTTTTTAAGGTTCTTTTTGTTCCTTACAACTGACTGAATTTGCTTCCCTTTTCCCTCTCTATTGATTCAGATGTTAACCATTCTATTTATAGTCTTTTAGTGGATCTCCTTAAGATTGGAACTGTATAGCTGACATAAGTCTGAAACTCATCTTTATCTCTAGTCCCAAACAATACAAGAGCCTTAGAATATTTAACTACTCCTAAGTTAATAAGTGTTTGATTTTTTTTTTTAGTTTTTAAGAAGTTTTATTATTAGTTTCAAGTATACAGTACATTGGTTAGACATTTATATAGTTTATAAAACAATTCCCCTGGTTGCTCTTACTCTCCTCTGGCTCTCCACCTAGCCATTACAGTAATGCTAACTGCATTCGCTATGCCATGCTCCCCACCCCCGTGACCATCTATCAACTACTAATTTGTACTTCTTTAACCCTTCACCCCTTTCTCCTAGCCCCTCAACTCATCTCCCCTCAAACCATCACCAGATTGTTCTCTATATTTATAAATGTTTGATAATTTATTCCACATGGTTATACTAATTAATCACTTTTGTTATTATAACTGGTTTACGCAGTTATAGGCAATGCTTGATTAGCTTTACCTAAATGTTAACCAATCCTTCCTCGACACTACTTCTTGCATCTTTTCTTCCTTTATGGGTTCAATTATCTTCGTCCTGAAATATATTCTTCAGGTGTTCTTTCAGCAGATATATTAGTATCTACTTAGATTAGTTTGTTTGAAAATGTCTTGATTTTATATTCATTATGAAATAATAGTCTAACTAGATATAAATTCTAAGTGGACAACTATTTTTCCTCAGTACTTCAAAGATATTCTGTTATCTTTGCTTTGTACTGCTGCTGTCAAGAAATGTGCTGACGGCCTAACTTTAATTCTTTCGAAAATATTCTGTGTGATTACTTGCTCAGATGTTTTCTTTTGACTTTAGTTATACCATGATGTTTTAAGGTATATATTTGTCTTTATTATACACTCTGGAAAATTCTGTCATTATCTTTTCAAATATCGACTCTTTTTTATTCTTTCTAAGGTTAGTATTTCTGGATTTCATGTTCAGCATCATTGAACCTTCTAATATTATTCTCCTTGTCTCTTTTCTTAATATTTTCCATTTCTTTATCTCTCTGTGCTGCATTCTAGGGAAATTCCTTACAAGTCTTTCAGTTAATTCTACATCTATGTCTAAGTTGCTTGTATACCTATTAATTTTGAATTTTAATGGTTAAGTCTCATTTCTAGATGTTCAATTTGATTTTTTTCAGATGTCTTTTTAAAAATAGAATTTTATACTTTTCTCATCTAAAAAATTTCTTCTTTTCATTCTTTAATCATTTTCAAATACTTAATCTATAATCTCTATCTGATATTTCTATTATCCAAAAGTCCTTGGCATTATAATATTATTGTTTGCTGTGTCCACTGATGTCCCACTATGTTGGATTTGTTTTGAGGGCTCTATAGTTCTGAACCAACTACTCATCTTCAGTGGTACTTTACTTTTGGGACTTCTATGACATCAGGGTTGAAAGCAATCAAATCCTCTAGAGAGGTTTTGGGTTTGCTTCTGCCAGGCATTCAGAAATATCTCCATACAACTCTGGAGTTCTTAGATAACACAGGTACTATATCTGAACTCTGAACTTCCATTGGGAAGATTATTTTATGGAGATGTCTCTCTTCCCACTCCTTCCCAAAGCCCAGGCAAAGACTCTTCCTCATCAACATAATAGCCTTTTTAACTATTATGTTAAAGGAGTAAACATCTGAAGGATCTGATTTGGTTTTGTATGTGGCAGTCTCAAGTCCATGCCCTGGCTTGCCTGGACCCAAGGCCTCACCTCCTATCCTACTGTGGCTATTAAAAGATAAGATTCTTGGAAAGTAAGACTGGCAAAGCCCCTTAAAACACCTGCGGGTTCGGTACATACACTTAATACTCTGGTTTGCCTTCTTCATTTTGGCCTCTGGAGAGTGTTCTTACTTTCTAATAAGCTCGACAAAGCATTTAAAAGAACATTTGTTGCTTCCCTGCTCAACATTTTGAGATATTCTGCAGTGAAAGAGTTTTTAAGTTGCCCAGTAAACTACATTCTGGGAACCAGAGTACTCTCAGAGTTTAGACTTTACTAGCAGCACAACCCTTTACAGTAACTCTAATCTCATTAAAGAATTCAACTGAGAGCAGACTGATGCCTCCTTACTTGAGAAACAAGGAAGAATGAATACAAGTTTTGGATCCCTGTTCCACCACTTATTGGCCATGTGATCTTGTGCAAGTTGCTTATTTGAAAGTATTTGTTTCTTTAACTATTAAATAGAAATAATAATTCTTGTTTCAGAAAGTTAACTGTGGATATTAAATGGGGTAGTGCATATAAACTCCAAACATACTATAGGCACTCAAAAAATCATCTCCTTTCTTTCTGTTTAGCATATGGACCTTACGAAACTCCAAGATCTGTAATAAAAACAGCTCCTTCAGATTTATATCATATTTTACATGTTTTACTAGTAAACACATTTTAACTTAACAACTCTGTGAGGCAGAGAGAATTTCACTTTTTTATACATGAGGTTAAAAGGATATAGCTTATTATTGGCAGAGCTGAGATCCAAAATTCAGGAATCCTAACTTATGATCTAATATTCCTCCAGGCATAATTGTTCTTTCATAAGGTACCAAAAAATCCTTCTGCTGAACTAGTATCCTCAGGCCATAAACATAATATAGACATTAGAGGCTTAGTAGTTGAAAGAATGTAAGCATTTGACCTTAAGCAGTTTGGAGTTGGTGGTATCTGAGGGACACCGTACCTTATGGAAAATCCTGATGGGAGCCATCTCTGCTCCATTTAGCGTCTTCAAAAGGAACATGGGCCAAGAGGAGGCATTCAGCCGAAATCCTGTAGCAAACATAATGGGCAACAGATAAAAAATATGTTTTAAAGGGAATGGTGATATTAAGTTTTCCCTTTGGAATCCAGCTACTCCTGCCACAACCTATGCTGTGATAAGTTACGGAATCATAGATTGTTAGGAAAGGACTTAAAGGTTAAACAGAAGAAATGCCTCATTAGACAGATGAAGAAATGAGGCACACCGAGGGAATATAACTTGCCCAAGTGTAATGATGCAAAGTAAGTAGTGGAACAAAGTCCCCAACCAAGTTTCGTGACTCCAAGATAAGTATTACAGATTATATATCATAATGCCTAAAAGTTTTCCTTGAAAAATCCAAAATAGATGTGAGATAGAATTAACAAATACTTAGAAATGATCTAGATAGTAGAGTGTGAAAGTTATTCTTCTTAATAATTTCTTAAGAAGAAACCAATTATGTCAACTGATAAAACCCAATACGCAAGTAAATCTTTTTGGTTTATGTCAATATAAACTAATTCACTATTTCTCTCTCTCTCTCATTCACTTGTTCTCGCTCTTCACCCTAGTTTGTGAACCCTCTTCTTTCACACATACACACACACACACACACACACGAAGTACAAAACACTTTTTGATATTTATTTTAACTTAAACAACGTAGGATCAGGCAATGATGAAGATGTAAGAGATCATCCTATCTGAAAATATTTTTACAAAAGAGGAAAAAGCCTAGAGAGGTTAATTGTGCATTGTCATTCGACAAGGGAAAGCCAATACGAATGCGCCATTTAATTAAGAAATTGTAAAAATAAGATTGTTACTGTAGTAGGTCTTCCAATTAGTAAAAAAAAAAAAAAAAAAAGCTCCAAGTACTTCTTTCAATCTAACTTCAACTCTCTGTCCCAAGATAGCAAAATCTAGTGCTTTTGGATAGTTTCCCAAACTACTACAGATTTCCTGTTCTTGACAAAGGAACCACTAGGTTGCTCCAAAGCTGCAGAGCTGGAAATAACAACAGTATCTGATATTATTGAGCACTTTACAGTGCGCTAGACACTGCGCCAATTACTTTCCACTAGCTAATATTTACCTGGTGAGGTAGATATTATAACCGGTGAGGTAGATATTATGACCGGTAAGGTAGATATTATCTTCAATTTATAGATGAGAAATGAGGTATAAAGTAAACTTTTTAAGATTTCAAAGTGAGTAAATAACAAAGATAGGACTGAAACCCAGGCGATCTGACCCTTGAACTCATACTCTTAAACGCTATGTTAAACTATCAGTATGCATGTAAAATGAAAAAAAAAATCAGCTTTTGGGATTAAGTACTGATTAATGACTATAATTAAATTAAAAGGGAAGAAGGGAGAAGAGAGAAGAAAATGGAAAAAGAAGAGAGTTATCACTCATATGATTTAAACTTTTAGTCTCAAAGCTGGCTAAGCTACGTCAAGCTTCCCAAGGTCACTTATATCAATGATGCTGATAGCAATGTGGATGTTCCTATCACTTAATCTAAAACTGCTATCACTTACTTTTTCCTTTTGGGAAAAAACCCACCCGAATTCTATGTGATTTTTTGGGAATGTCTGTCATATGACTCTACCTGCCTAGTCATGGAGTGGAAAATAATGGCATTTAAGAGCATCAGATTCCCTGAGACCAAGAATGTGCATGTATGTCTCAAGTTGGGTCAACTGTTTTCCGACATATGCATGTTGGAGGAGAGAGCATTTCTTTCTCTCAGATCATGGCTAGAAAGATGTTTGTAGATTTGCTATATGGAGAACATAACTGAGAGTAAAGCCAAGGGCGAGCAAGAGACGGAGAGACATCAGAGTGTTTAAAATCCTGCATCTAGACACTAACATCAGGCCTTAGGTTTCTCAGTTATACAAGTCAGTAATTCCTGCATCTTCCTTTTCCCCTCCTCTAACCTGGTTTGAGTTGGATTTGGCACTCATAGTCCAAAGAGTCTTAACTACGACTCTTCTTTTTATCATAGTTAAAAGAAAAAAAAATAAATTTCTCCAGAAATTCTGGTTTGGGCCTTGTCTGTGTGTATGGGGAAAACAACTCTCCTTAGGTCAGGAAAGGGCTGAAGCAAGCCAAACCTAGAGCAGATTTGTCATGAGTGGTTCAATACATCTATGGATAAGGCAAAGCAAGGCACAACTGTTCTAGAGAAATGCTCCCTACACCTTGGTAAAAGAGGGGAGTAGTAAGGAATGCTTGCACAATTAGAAAATTCAGATTCAGGACCTCAGTTCCCAACAACTAGAGTGCTTCGCCATTTAACACCCAATTCCATTTTTTAGGAACAGGTTACTCAGGTGCCTCTACCTCATCTGGAACTTGAAAAGCTAGGAAAAAAAAAAATTCTCTCAGCTCCGGGAACCCTTATAATAGCTAATATGTATTGAATGCTTACAATGTATTAAATATTTTATTTGTAATTTCTTACTGTTTATTTGAAATAATACTGTGAGGTATGCACTGTTGTTATCCTTAGTTTGCAGATGATGAAACAGAAACTCAAGACAAGTAGCTTGTTCAAGGTAGTAAATGGTGGAGACAAATTCCAATATATGATGGTCTCACCCCAGACCTCATGGTTCTGAAATATTGTTTTAGTACCTCCTAGCAAGCTTCTTCAAAAGTAGAAGGGCAAAAAAGAAATGTTACCAACCCAAAGAATTACTGAGGTACCTTATTTCCTGTACCCCGAGGTGACATGGGGACCCCCTACCACTCCAAATTCGAATGTTTCCATAATCTGTCTTGGGTAGGAGGTCACAGATAGATTTTTAACATTGAAAGGGACCTCAGAGGCCATATAATATGAAGGTTTTATATTGTAGATGACAATACTGAAGTCCAGAGAGGCTAGGAAACTTGTTCATGGTCATGTAAGTTGTTCTTGCAGTCAGGCTGGAGCCTCAGGACTTTTCATCTGGTTCTGTGCTGCCTCCCAAAGAAAACACCGATTACGCACACATTATGTGCCAGGCTCCACGTGCTAAGCACTTCAAGTGGGTTATCTCATTTAACCACTAAGACAACTCTGTGAATTAGGAGAAAAGTAGCACTGGCTCTGGAGCAAGGCTGCCTTGATTCAAATCCAGCAGACACTTACTTGGTGTGTAACTTTTGGAAAATTACGAATCCTCCCTCTGGCTTTAATTTCCTTAATGATAAAGTGGGATAAGAATACTTATTACCTCAATGGGTTGTTCTAAGGATTAAAATAGGTTAATACATGCAAAGGACTTAAAACATTGCCTGGTATCTAATAATTGTTAGATAAATACTGGCTAGTGTTATTATTATTATAGACGAAAAAGACTGAGAGTAATTAAATAAAATACCCAAGGTTACTAAATTAGTAAATAGCAGAGGTAGGATTTAAACCCAACTCCTCTGTCTCCAGAGCCTTCATCACATTAATATCTTCAAATATTTCATCACTCAACCCTTCTACACTCTCTCGGTAAAAAAAAAAATAAAAGTTGGAGTCATAAATTTGTGAAAGCAGGAAGGGAAGAATAAAAACAATAATTTGAGGGTCTCCTCAAAGTAAACAATGGCCTGGGTGCTTACAAGGAAAAAGACAGGTCATTTCTTGGTTTCTACTCTCTTTGTGTCATATAATAACTGCCAATTTATATCTCCAGCCCAAACCTCTGCTCTGAGTTTCATGCTCATATTTCCAATTGCCTTATCCTATAACTCTACGTGGAGACGAAGAGATCTCCAAATGAGTAAGTCTACAACAGAATTCTTGATTTCGCTATCTCCTCCAAACTTGTTCTTTCCTCCAGTCATCTCATCTCAATTAATGGCACCATTTATTAAACCCAGGTGCTCATACCAAAAAGCCTAGACTAAGTCACCCAATTCCTCCCTTCCTATTACTCCTCAAATACAATTAATTGGCAAGTCTTGATGGCTCTTTCATCTTATATCCTAAACCAAACCAGTTCTAACCATTCTATAGTTCTCATCCACTACTAACTACCCTAATCTAAGCCACAGTAAGACTTTGCCTAGACTATTGTAACAGACTTCTAACCAGACTGTTTCTACTTTTGCCTCTTACTGTCTGCTCTCCACATAGCAGCCAGAATGTTCATTTAAAAATATATATATATCAGATCACATCACTCTTATGCTCATATCTCACAGCACAAAATAAATCTAAATTCTTTTATGCATGTTAACAAAACTTACATGATCTGGAAGGTGCTTACTTCTCCTAACTCATCTATCACTATTCATTGATTTTTCTGTTCCTCAAACACACCAAGCTGTGTCTCTTTGCTTTAAACACCCTTCCTTTTCCTCAAATCTTTAACAGTTCTTTGCTGAAATCTCAGCTCCTCAGAGAGGCATTCTTAGACTATTTACCTAGAATAGCCTCTTAATCCTGCTCCCTTCTTATTTATCCTTAGCTCTTAACGCTGCTTGAATTTCCTTTCTTTTTTTTCCTTGTAATGTGTATGTATTTTCCAACTATAAGCTCTGTAAGAGTTTTATTGAACAAAGAAAAAATATCTCCATTTATTAAATGGGTGCCAGGAATTGATCTATGTTTTATCATGTTATTACATTTAATCCTCACAAAAACCATATGTGGCAGTTTATTAAAGATCTGGCAGGTGACGTAGTTGAAACTCAAGGTTAAAAGTCAAAGCAAAGCAACTTACTGCACAACTAAACTAGTAAGTGGCTAATATTACAAAGTCAGGTCTCTTTAATTCTAAACGTAGGCATGCTGCAAGTGTTCTGCTTACCTTAAAAATACTGATATGGAATAAGTTATAAAGAGCTTCCAGGTGCTCCCAAGATGATGGAACTACTGAATAAATTAGGGTGCAGCTGTTTAAACAATGACCTGATGAAACTCTGGATTTAAATGCAGATCATAAGGTCTAGAATCTAATCATAGTTCATGCCCTCTGGTGGCAGTTAACAGAACAGCATCCACACCAGGAACCAGGGCCCTACTCTCCAC